AGCCTCTAACCCCACCGGTGCCACATCCGCAGCAACCCCAGCTGCATTCTCAGCTATCCCAGCTGCACCCGCGGCATCCCCAGCCATGTTCTCAGCATCCGCAGCATTCCTTGCTGCTTCCACGGCTGCCACTCTAGCCGCCTCAGCTGCAACCGCAGCTGCTTGCCTCTCGGCTTCCCTAGCCCTCTCAGCAACATTCCCGTTGCCTGAGTTCACAGACCCCTCAGCCTGGTTATCCCCATTAACTCTCACGGCTCTTCTGATATTAACCATCTGCAAGTACACAATGCCAGTTAGCCGAAGCTAACTCAAAACGTGTTTTACAACACCACACACAACTTACCGCGAGACCTTGGCAGTGAAGAATGGATCGGACCCCCTTAACCCCCAAACAATCAACAAACAACAGCAGTCACCAGTTTCCTAGTCCTAGAAGCGTTAAAACGCTCTGATACCAACTTGTGGTAACCCATCCCGGTAAACCGTACCGCGGCTGTGTCCCACTACATCCTCTAAGTCCAATTCTATACTTAGCCATATTTTTGAACTTTTTCTTTATTTTTCTAAGTCATTCTTTAACAATACACAGCGGAATATAATAACTCAATTCATTCATTTATTCATCTTTCAAAGCACTTAAACAAGATTCGGGGTTCCACATAAATCAAATCACAAGGTTCACTAACGATTACAACCAATCATCTAGCAACCTAAACGGTTAAACACCAAAGCCATAAGACTCTAGAAAAAGTCTTAAATCATAAAACACACAACCCCGATCCATCCATATCCATCACTGCCGCCTGGTCTCGCCCCTTACTGCTTAGTACCTGCACACTCAAGATGAGAGGCATAAGTATTTCATAAATACTTAGTGAGTACGGTCATCCCGTAACACCTGGTCAGTACCAAAACACGCAGTAAACTTTCGGATTCAACATTCACACAATCAATTCACAATAAACACAACACTATATCACACGGCCCCTGATCATCTAGCCTAACCAACCAAGATCAATCCCTTTTTAAGACCCATGTCTACTTCAGCGAGAATCCCACATCTCCTAAGCTAGTACATGATCCGGATTATCCTGAGGTTAGCTAAACATCATATATGCCTCGGTAAACACCACCTTTTATCAAAACACTTAACCGTTCATTCACTTAAACACACATAACATGAAATCATCAATCAAACATGCAAAACATTCAACCCTAGTCATTCTACGGTCTTAGACCTAACCACAGTCGCACACTCACCTTAGACAAGGCTAGAAACAGATTGGTCAGAAGAAATCCCGATGAAAACCGCTCCAAATCAAAGATATCCGATCTCCCTAAGAATCTCTCGGCTCACGGTACGATCCGATCCTTATCCCCTCGGCTATCTCTTGATCCGTTCACCTTTCTTCGAGCCAAACTCTGTTTTCCCTCAGAAACCCCACAAAACAAGACTATTAGCTCGAGGTTATCCGATGAAATCCTAACACTTAGGGAAATATCCGATCGCTTACCAGTTTATCTCGGCGATGGTCGGATTAGCTCGGCGATAGCTTGATCTCTCTCGGATGTCCTCGGGATAATCTGTTTTTCTTAGGGTTTTCTCTTGACTAAACTCTTTCTTTGCTTTATTACTCTCAAATAAACGCAAAACCCTCGAGTTAAGTCTCAAACCCCTTTATATACTCGCAAAACCCTAGGTAACCCGGACTTATCCGACGTTTTCCTGGTTCCAGTAAACTTTATCCCGGTCCGATTCGATTCTCTCGGCTATCCCCTGTACCGGCTCGACCCATCCTTCGATAAACCCCAAAATAGCCGACCAAACACTTGGCCCACGGCCCAAATCCCTTCCCACTCGGATAAACCGCCCTTATCCGAGGTGTTTTCCATTTTTCATCCGGATTTCCTATTCCCTTCGGACCACTTGTCCTTCCTCGGCTAATCCTCTTTTTCCCTCGGAGGTTTCCTATTCCCCCTCGGAGACAGTCCACTGTCACTCGGACTAACCTCCCAGACTCTCGGATATATCCTACTCCACTCGGATAAATCCCATTTCCCTCGGACTGGACCCCATTTCCCCTCGGATATGGTCCATCCGGCTCGGCTATTCAGCCCATGTCCGACTATTTCACCGGTCTACACCCGACCATAGTCCGAACCTTCCTTTCCCAGCCAATATCCAACTCTTGGCTCGGTCATTCCTCGGACAACCTCCGGTCCGGTACGATCAGTCCGCATTTTCTCGGATACGGATGCTACAGTTACTATAATGCCGGCTGAACCAAACCACAGTTGCTTACATACTTGTATAAGCTACAAGAATACGGTGTTGAGAGTATTAGTAATGGTGAACCCAATAATTTTTGTTTATTATTAAATGAAAGATAACATTTTAAAAACCGATTCTTTTAAAAAGTTATGCCATATCATTTTTTTCATTTAAGAACCTCATCAAATTTCTCCATTATTGATTGATGCTCTGAGTACCTAAAATGGATTACAAGAAAAAAAAACAATGTTAGCTTTTGATTGCCGCCCTTTTCATATAGCATTTTCAAGGTGTTAAAGTTTGTAGTTTAATGATTTAAAATACTAATTAAATACTATCTATACTAAATGAAAGGAGAAGTTTGGGACTCCTAAAACCATCCACATCAGCAAAAAACAAATCTCTATAATCATGCCACATCAGCAAATCTTTAATAAAAATAATTCTTAATATATTATTAACACGATTAAAACTAAATAGTGTTAATTAACAATAATGATAATATTTGAATATTGATTAAATTATATGTACTATGGTAACAAAACATATGACATATTATAACTTGATTTTAACAAAATAAAATTATATTATATATATATATAATATTCTAAATTCTTACACCCCAAATTAATAATAATCACTTTTTTAAACTAAAAATCGTTAAGATATAATATAATGAGGTATTAAGTCCGTTCACACATTAATTAAAAACATCAAATATGTATGATTATGTACATATTATTCCTATATTTTTGGCTAAATACTTTTAAGCATAAATTAAATTAATTACAGTATATAGTATGAATCATCATTATAGTCATGGATATGTAAAAATATACTTGCATAATTTTATATTAAACATTAATATATTACACTTCCATATTTAAAAATAGTATATATATTTTTATATAAAAGAAAATATAATAAACACTTCTCTAACCATGTACATCAACAAAAAAAGTTTTTTTTTACAAACTCAACATGTAAGGAAAACTAATATGTTTTTTTTTGTTAAGAAACTCTTTTAAAAATAATATAATATATATTATTAATTTAATTATAAAATTTCACCAATATATATATGTAGTGTAAGAAAAAAAATCTAAGTTAAATTACAAGCAAATGCAAATGAATCTTTTACACATTTTGAGTTTTGAGAAACTCGACATACTTTGTTTAATAGAATGAGTTAGTATGAAGATGTATTTGTATATATGTATTACTTGTTTTATTCATCTACACTACTATAGTTTACAGTTACTTCAGAGACCAAATAAAAAATACACTTTATCAATATGATTGTGATTTTGTATAATATGTAAATGTTATTTTTATTTATATGAACAATAGTTCTTTTACGAATTTGTAAGAATTTTGAACATTAATTATTGTTTTATATTTAAGACTGCTCAATTGAAATGAAAAGATATCTAAATTAATTAGAACTAAATATAGGTGTTTCAATTGTAGCCATGTGTTTGATAAGTAATTTTTTTTAAATGAAAAAAATTATTTAAAATTAAATAAAGAGGAAACTTATAGTTGTTGAGATCAATTATATATCAAATTTAGTTAAAATAAAAATTATTTTAATCATAGTTTGGAAGTTGGTGAGCAGTAATGAGTTTATATGTAAATATTGAGTTTTATATTAATGATTAATTTTCACATATATCAAGTTAGTTAATTTTTAAATTAAATCATAATATATTTTCGAATACATTAAAATCTTTTAGATGTATGACCACATCAAAATGATATTGAAAATAAATATTATATTTAAAATATTAATTTATAATTAAAATACTAAAATAATAATTAATATTTATGAAAATAATCTGCGCGTAACGCAGTAACATTCCTAATATAGTGTAAAGAACTATCAATTTTAATTTTAATTTTTTTCGAGTTTTCCCTAAAATTTTATATTAGATGTTCGTTTTAGAGTTTGCTATAAGAAAGTCTAATGTTATATTATTACAAGTTAAAGTCATTGTTATATTAAAAAAAAGTTGTGACCAATCAAAGCCAGCCCTAATATTTTGAAGGTCCCAAACCCATATCAAAAATAGGTTGGTTTGCTTTATTTGAAAAAAATTATGCATACCTATGATTCAATCTCCTGATTTTAGACGGTAAAGAATAACAATTATCACTAGACTAAAAACATATTTTACTAAATTAAAAGGTCGAAACTGTATAGATAAAAATAAGACAGTAAGTATGGGCTTGGCCTATTTGGAGTCAGGACCCCATTATTATAATTTAAAATTTTAATGTGTGATTGTAAAAGTTTTAACAAAAATAAATACTTAAGGTGCAAATAATAAAAATGAATTGAAACATTGATTCCACTAGATTCTTCTAAAAACTTACCAATTAAGATAAATTTTCATTTCTCTACAAATTAATGGGATACATAGAATTAGAGAAAAAACTGTTAATTCCTCTCAAATTTGTTACTCTTAAAAAAATACCAAAAAAATAAATTTCATTCAACTTAACTGCAAAAAATTATTCAATTCATTTTTATTCATCTCTTCATTATTACTTCCATTCAAACTCATTCTAACCATTTGCACCCATAAAGATATTACTATGTTAACATATTTTGTGGGTTTGACTTTGACTTGCATTTGTTTTACATATGGAAGTTAAATTTTGTAAGAAATTTATTATTTGACTTTGACTTGTATTTTCTTTTGGAAAACTTTTTTTACAAACTCCACGCACGGATCTCAAAGAATACAAATACAGATACAATACAGATTACAAGAGATTGACACAACACACTAAGTACTAACAGTGTTGAAAATAATGAAACACAAGAAAACCCTTCAGATTTTAGATTCCCAAAAATCCCATATGCGACCACCGTTGCCCCGTCACACACAACAGCCGTCTCCGGCCATGGCGTCACATTCACCGCTTTCAACCACCGTCGCCCGTAAAAGGTTTGTTACTCTCATCCATTTCTTACAAATGATTCGATTTGAGAGTTGTGATTTGAGTTTTATCTTTTCGGTGGTGAATCTGAATTGAATTGAACATTTCGTCGTCTCTCTCTTTCGCTCTCTCTCTCTCTCTCTGTAATATGGTATCAGAGCCAGATTGAATACACGGTTTATACTAAATCGGTCCATACATTTCAATTATGTCTAATAGAATCTGAATTGAATTTCAAAGTTTCTAGCTTTCTCTACCAAATGAACAGATTTTGAATAATCGGGAACATTTTTATCGCCTCCCAGTAAAGAGTTTGTCTTTTCTGTAAGATTTTGAGATTTTGTTTGATTTAAGGTTCATGGATTCAAGAAAACCATATATTATGTACTGAACTTTCAGTTGAAATATGTGGGTATTGTAGTAAGACCCTATTTTCCAAAAGCAGCAACCTTTTTTGATTTGTGGTTTGATTACAAAATTCAGTGTTCTGTTTCCATGATGGGTTGTTCATTTTTATTGAAATATCACAACTTTCACTTTGAGACCATTAGACGAATAAGAAAGTCACAAACTTTTGCCTAATTTGAAGTTCATTTTTTTAATTGTTTTGTAGATCCAAAACTCAGAGCGAAGAGGCCTTGAATCCTAGTTTTGCTGATCTTCCGTCAAGTCTCTTGGAAGTAATAATGTCTCAACTTGTGTTAAAAGACAACATCCGTGCATCTGCTGCTTGCAAGTCATGGCTTGAAGCCGGAGTTTCTGTTCGTGTAGTGGAAAAACATCCTTGGCTTCTGTGTTTTTCTAAACATGGCAGCTTGATTAAACTCAGGGATCCATTGCAATGGAAGTCGTACACTCTTGATCTTCCCGAGCTAGCTAAATCGACTGTGTGTTACTCAAGAGACGGATGGTTACTTATGCACAGATCCAGCTCAAGCGACATCTTCTTCTTCAACCCGTTCTCTCGAGAGCTCATAAGCTTGCCCAAGCTTGATCTATCTTTTGAGGAGATTGCTTTCTCTTGCTCTCCTACAATGGATAGTTGCGTTGTGATAGCTTTAAACTTTGTTGTGGATAATACTGCAACTGCTGTCACTGCCAGCACTTGCTCCCCTGGAGCAACCGAGTGGATCACTGAGGACTTCCCTACTCGCATTCGAGGGGATCTCATGCAGAGCAAGCTTGTCTATCTAAAGAATCGATTCTTTTGCTTTAACGCAGCAAGAGGCGTGTTGTGTTCCTTCAAGCCATCGTCACGCAAATGGAGGCTTCATCCTTTTGCATATATCGATTCTGATCATCAATGGAATGGGTACGAGAAAGCAGGTTTTTTGGCAGAGAAGAATGGAGAGCTCTTTCTCATGTTTACAAGCGGTAACGAGAAGCCAAGGGTTTATAAGTTTTCGACTTTGGTATGGCAAGAGATGAGTATTACTGATCTTGATGGCTTGACAATCTTTGTCAGTTTTCATAACTCTGAGTTGAGAAGTAATCTCCCATGGATGAGGAACAATGTCTATTTCTCAAGGTCAGGTTACAATCGCAAGCGTTGTGTCTCATACTCGTTTGATGAAAGCAGGTACGATCCGTGTAAGGAGTGGCAGAACTGGTCAGAACTTTGTCCTCCTCAAACCCTCTGGATCGATCCGCCGAATAATGTTTTAGACTATTTGTGAGAGAGATTTGTATGAAAAACTGATGTAACTCTGTTTTTGTTTACCAGAACCGATTTAGGCTTGCATAAAAGTCGTCTTCTTCTTCTTCTTCAATAGACTTTTCTTTTTCAGGACAATGTTTATTTAAATTGAATTTGATAAAGAGGAACAGAGGTTAAGAATCTCGATTATATCAAATAGATGAAAGAGGAAAAACTAACATACTGTTTTGAAGATTCCAATTACACAACTTTAAACAAAACAAAACAAAACAAAAAGACCTAGAGCGACTTGTTCTACTGTTAAGACCGGAAGTGTTTCTCCACCGCCTCATTTCTTGCCGGAGCCACCGCAAGATTCAACGTCACGGGGAAACCTACGGACAATAACATCAATCCCTACTCTTATCCTCTGAAGCTCAGGTGAATCAGACATGGCCTCGCGTTTCTTCAGATCCAAGAAATCAATAGTTAATGTATGAACGATATCCCTGTAAGAAGGGACTTGGATCTTCTCGAGAATCTGATAGACCGTGGCTTGTATCTGATCCCTATCGCCACCGATGAGCCAATCTCTACCGAACTCGTGGGTTTGATGAACGATTCGAGTTTCTAAATCGCCGAGATCTTCGTCTTCGTCTGAATCTGAATCTGGTTCAGGGGCTCGCCTGTAAACTAACTCGAAATCGAACAACAAGTTCGGTTTTTTGCGTAGTAGATTGTTGTCGTGATTGATGTGTTGTTTGTCGCTGTAGACTAGGTCGAACGAGATGAAGGTGTCTGGTTCGTTATCGGCGTACAAAAACAAAACCATGATTAAACTTGTTGTAAAAGATTGATGGGTAATTAGAGACTTATGAAAGATAGTGAACCTATTTTTTTTTTTTTTTTTTTACTTTCGAGGGTGTGTTTATACTAATTCCAGATTTCCTTTTCTTTTTAGATTAACTTCCTTTTTTACGGATTTCCTTTTCTTATTAGATTAACTTCCTTTTTTTACGGGATTACCTTTTCTTATTAGATTTCGGATTTCTTGGTGAACTAATATTGTAGTAACGAGCAAGATATTAATGTGTCTAATTTAGTCGAGGATATTAAAATCTGGTTATACATTACAAATCTCAACATTGAAATTACTCATGTTTAACGAGATTGTAATATTGTATAAATGTAGCACATGATTTAATTAGGATAGGTCCACCAAATGGGAAATTCTTTTCCGACTTTAACCATCCATCATGTTAGATAACAAAAACATTGTATTCAGATTATCAAAATTCAATATAAATAAGGGAGTAATACATTTGACGTTAAATAAAATAAATTAGATTTCAGGTTTACTTTTCTAATTTATAAGTTTACTTCATTTATTAGGTGGTCGATCCGCACTATGTGCGCAGTATAAAACATTTTATATGATTAATAATGTATATTGAGGATGATATATATTTTTTCTTGATCTATTGTTAACTAAACCAAATTGAATTTTACCATCTTTTCTTATTCTAAGAGCGGGTAGATGGTTGGCTCACACATTCGTGCGTACCAACCACCTCGCCACTTTTAGGACATATAAATATTTTTACAAAATATAAGTTGTCTAATTAAAATTAAAATTAGACTGTAATCGAGGTTAACAAAATGCATGCGCGACAAGTTCGCATGTGACTTTGACTTTTGCATAATTAATATTTATATCCACACGTACATTTGTGAAAAAATTGAAGTATGACTTTTATGTGTTAAAAAAAACTAAATATCTGTTTTGTAATATATATTTATAATATGTTATGATTGAATTTTTTTAAAAATATATGTATATATATGCATGTAAGCATGAGCTATAGAAATAAGTGACTTGTAATTTCTAGGTGTTGGTTAATTTTTCTAATATTTTTCACGATGGAGTTTTCGGAGTTTAACAACAATCACCAAAATAGTTTCTATCGTTTAGTATTTAATCAAAAAAATTATTTTTAAGCATTTTATGATATATTGTTTCAAATTAAAAATTATATTAAATATTAAAAAAAATTACAAAAAACTCTAAAACCTTAAAAATATAAGATTTAACTTTACCATGAAGATAATATAGTACATTGGATTATCTATTCGTAAATTTCCTTTTCAATAAAAATTGTGATAAAAATTTGTTATAAAATTTGTGAAATCATATTTTATAAAATTCTCTGGTAGCTCTTTGCTCATCTCTTCGTCCAATATTGGGTGTTAGAATAGAAATTCTTTTTATGCTTGATTTGCACGCATGCGATTATTATAAAGTTTTGTATGCACGTGTTCATTAAAAATAACACATCTTTTTAAGATTTTTTAAATGACTTTGTCAAACAAACCGCAATATTTTTATGAAAAATCAAAACTGTAAAGATTTATTTTTGTTTTTACATCTTATTTATATTTGTTTCATCTTATGATCATTTATTCTTTCATTTGATTATTTTTTATTTCATTTATGATCGCAAATTCCTGATATATAATGAAAATGAGTATATATATACATATATCTATGAATATAATATAAACTTATGTTTTTATGTAAAATATGATAAGAGATAAGATGATATGCTAAAAAAAGCTATGTAAATTTCAGAAAACAACAGTATAAAAAGTGTTAATATTATATACAAATACGTGGTCATATTAATACTATAAAATAAAAATTAGTAAATACTTTATTCATTTGGCATAATAAGTAATGGTCCGAAAAGACAAATTATTTTAAGTTATGTTATTTTTTAAACTTTCAATAAAAGTTAATTATTATTTTTAACTATTTTTATTCTTTAAATTATTTGTATCATGATCGTATTTTATTTTAAATTCTACTATTTGATAATGTATCTATTTAAAACTTTTTTAGAAGTTATTATTAGAAATTTTCATAAATTAATAACTTTCCAAAATAAGAATATATACTTTAAACATTATTAATATATAGAGTCTTTACTATCTTATTGGATAATCTAATATTTTTTTATATGAAATTATAATATATAAATATATATGTATATATATTATTGTAAAATTTTCGTAGTAATACTTTATGTTATTATAAATACATGTAAAAATAATTAATCATAATAATTATCATTTTTGTTAATTGAAATTTATTTATAATCTAGTGTATTTTGTGTTTAATTTCAAATTTCATTAATTTTAACTCAGCCAATCGAAACATTTCATTTATTTTAGGAAATTTGACATGTCACATTTACATGTCATCAATACAATACACTAATTTTGATTGTGAGTGTGACCCATCAATAGTTTTAACTTGTTCTACTTCTCAAATAATGTGTAGGGGATTATAAGTTGTAATGATATTATGATTCAAGTTCGGGACTATTTTACAATCTCAATAAGAATATAAAATTACTCATGGTTTAATTAATAACTAATTTAAGAGCAGGTAAGTTTTTCAACAAGAATTTCTCAACAGTTTTATAATAATATTTTTAATATTATTTAACTTTATTATTTAATTTTAAATTTAGTTAAATTTTAAACCATGATATTAAATAAATATGAAATAAGCCTCTCATAAATCGCTCATGAAATTTTTATTTGAGAGATTCTATTTATTCTTTCTTTTCTCTAATTCTAATTGTATTAATATTTTATGATAAGAGATTTTCTTAGAGACATGCAATCTAAGATCATCTCTATAAGAGTATTTCAATGCAAATATCTCACAAAATAAAAAGATAAAATAATAATATTTTATTGCGTGTGTAAGAAAAAGGAAGAGAAAAATGGATAAAATATCTCATATGAAAGACTTTAAGATATTTTTTGAGCACCTTCATTGGTTTAGATACTCTTTTAAAGTTTTCAAGCAAAAAAAAAAAATATAGTATTGTAATACTCCCTCCATTTTTATTTAGATGATGTATTAGAACTTTGCACATAAATTAAAAAAGGAATAACTGCAAAAAAAACCTTAAACTAAATTAATTTTGCAAAATTAACCTTCAGGTCAAAAAAATGCAAGTCAATCCTATAACCTCCAAAGTAACCCGCAATACAGAACATTCTCTATATCGTCGACGTCATCTGTTAATTTTTTCTGATACTACGTCGTTTTGATTAAAAGAAACAATTCCAAATTTACAAAAATTGAGATTCGAACCCATGTTCTCTGGATTAGCAGTGGACATAACTTACCTATTGAACTGATTGGAATATTTGGTATAGCATGAAACCAAAATATTTATAACCCTTTGATTGACTTTCCTCACAAACAAACTAAATATTCGGTGTGAAATTGTAGCTCCACGAATCATTGATGGGGAGATTGAGATTGTGCGTTTTGAGGAAAAGGGTGAAATCAGGGGGAATCGACGGTGAGGATTGGGGAGTGGGAGACCTCGAGGAGGAAGACAGTGAAGGGAATGGACGGAAATTGAAAACCGTTTCTCCAATTGGTCAATTTTACTGCCAATCAATTGATTCTCGAGTCCTACAACGACGAATAAGGATTTGATCGGATCCACATTATCGATTTTGATGTTGGATACGGAGGACAATGGTCGTCTCTGATGCGAGAACTCGCTTCCGGGGAAGAAGAAGAAACGGATCATCTCTCCAAATTACAGTCTTTGCTCCACCTCTCTCTTCGTTCATCGAAAAAGGAAGCAATCGTAGTTAATCTCCCGATAAGCTTCGTCGTCTCCGGTTACCTTTCGTTAATCCTCCGTTTCTTTAAACAAATCCCCGCAAATGTCGTTGTATGCTCGGAAATTGAAGAGCTTGGAATTGAGACGATCGAGGTCCCAATATACTACACTTGGTTTATTTGTGGAAAGATTCGACAGAAGAGTTATAAACTATTTCAGGTTAATATTAAACAAGATATTTCAAGTAACTCGATTGGTGAATCATGTATTAGAGATCATGGGTTCGAATCTTGATTTTTTGAAAATTTGGAATTGTGTCTCTTAATCAAAACGACGTAGTATCAAAATAAATAATAAAAAAGTTAATGATGACGTCGACGATATAGAGATGTCCTATATTGCGGGTTACTTTGGAGGTTATAGGATTGACTTGCATTTTTTTGACCTGAAGGTTAATTTTGCAAAATTAATTTAGTTTAAGAGTTTTTTTGCAGTTATCCCATTAAAAAATGTTATAAAATATATATTGTAACCTTTTTAATTATTATTTATTTTATAGTTTATCAATTGATATAAGGACAAAATAAGTTATTTATTGATAAATTTTGCTTTGCTTTATGAGAATATTATATATATTCAAACAAAAAGTCTTAAAATATCATAAAATTAAAATCTGAGAGAATATAATTTAATTAGATGATTTATTTTTTGTTAGGAAAAATGAACTGAACCAATAGGAAACAAGAAAATGTTTATCTAAGAGCACCTCTGTAATAATTCAAATTCGATCTAAAGAATGAACAAGAATTTGTGGGTTTAAAGAGAGATCTTTATTAAGATTTAGCCGGAGCTTGAGGGTCACACAGATGTTTAGGTCGTCGGAATAAGAACGCTGACCTAAGTTTTATGGAAATAAGATCGAAAACTAGAACAATAAGATTGCTTAGTTTGCCCTAGGTCTCGAGAGAAGATTTTTGGATGATTTGAGAAGTCGAAGACTTCCTCTATTCATAGCCGATCAGGTCGGTCTCTTAGAGAAAATAGAAAAATTGCTTTCACCGATAAGGCCAATCTTCCGTCTTTTCCGGATTTAGTCTGATAGATAAAAGATTCCCATTTATTTGGCCGACCTGAATTTCTTTAGGTTTCCAAAATGGGCCAACCAGAATTCATATCGGGCTTTTAGAGATGGTACGAATCTCATCTCTAACAGTAAGCCCCCCCCCCAGTTCGGCAAGTGAGGATACGTTGCTTGG